CAAAATCTATTTAATAGAAAGAAAGCTGTTTCGTCTAATAAACAAACAATCACAGAGGGTTGAGACTGCAGTGTTTTATAGTAAAGGTTCCCAAGGAGTATGTCTTGTTTTTTCATAGTGCTAGAGGTGTGTCAAGACTCTGACCAATTAATCTTCAAGGTGGCAGGTGGGGCTGGGTGACCACATCCTCTGGGCCAATCTCCTTTGGCTCTGAGCAACCTCTACCTTCTCCTTTGATTCCAGTGAACCATCAAAATATTACCATTTTCTAGGTTCAGTGAAGTGAAAAGTTTGGAAAGCACTAGTTTGCCATAGAATACATCTATGCTTGGGGAAAGAGTCTAAGACTATCCAACTTGGGCAACCTATGGAAGGTTATTTCCTTATTCTGGGATGTATTTTATTCACAAGTTTGAAGAGATGTTGTACTACAAAATCCAAAATTTTTCTTCTAATTCTACAGGGCAGTTATTCTGCAATGTGAAACCCTCCCCACCCCCAGCCTGACCCAAACCCCATAGTATCCTGAAAAGTAACATTTTATGGAACAAAAAGGTAAAATTTTAAAGTGAGACTTGGAGACTGCTGAAGCTTCTATTTAACAAATCTGATTAGGTTCCTGTTATGTGCTAGAGATGTGTGATTAATACTGAAATTATACCTACAAAAAGAGGGAAATATTCCTCGTTCTCTTCAAGCTTATAGTCTGCTGGGAAGTACAAATGAAAAAAAAAGAAATTATAATTTAGTGGGATAGATACCAAGAAAGAAACATAGGTAGGTATGAGATTGGGGTGCCCATCCCAGCCTCGGTAAGGAAAAGCTTCATGTAAGAAGGTACATCCAAGACAAAACTGGAAGAATTATCAGGAGCTAGCTAGAGAGTGGGGTGGAGTGGGTTGTGAGTGTGGGTGAGAAGAGGGGAGGTGGAGAAAAATGACATTCCAGGCAGCAGATACCAACTGCCAAGTCCCACAGATACTTGGGAAGTGTAAGAAGTCTATATGATTGAAACATAGCATGGATTCAAATGGGAGAATGATATGACAGGTTAGAAAAGGCCCTGTGGCTGTCTACAGAGTGGAGAGTGATTGGAGAGGGGCAAGATGAAGGTAGGAAGATCCAGAAGCTGCCAAATCAATATAATACTGAGATTATACAATGAATTATGGAAGAAGAAAAAGTGGGGGTGGGGGCAGGGGGCTTAAAAAGCATTCTTAAAATGGGGAGAAGAAAAGTGAGCAGAAAGTTGGTTTGTTCAGTAGCACTGGAATAATTTCATATAATACAGAATCCAGAAAATCAATCATATTTATAATTTACATGTATGGAAGACTATTTCTTAAAACTAAATGGTTATCAAAGGAACAATGTCATTCAACTTTGAGGAAATTATTTTTAGGGCATATTTTATAAATTAATAGCCATAATATACAGTGAATTTCACATAGTAAGTTCTTTCTCAACATTATCCCTATATATAAATTTATACCCTGAAAAATAGAATACATTTCACCATAGCAACAGTTTTATATCAACTCCTACTCGAGTTAGAAAAAGCATATGTAAAAGAAATGAATATTCTGAAATATTCTGAGGTGCCTGATGGTTAAAAAAATCATTCCATTTATTTTGTAAAGATTTAAATATGAGTGCAATATTTCTTTAAAACATCCTTGTAATTAGAAGGTTATTTTAGTTCTTCAAATCTTTCTGAATTAAATAGTAATAATGTAGTGTTTTTTTTAAAGGGGGGGGGAGAAAGAAAGAAAGAAAGAAAGAAAGAAAGAAAGAAAGAAAGAAAGAAAGAAAGAAAGAAAGAAAGAAAGGAAGAAAGAAAGGAAGGAAGGAAGGTAGGTCGGTCAGTGGGTCAAGAATAACATACTTGGGATCTAGCTGATGGCCATGGGAACCCAGTAACAGGAAAAGATTTTTATATGACTAATAAGTTAAATATAAACCAAGCTATTATCTATTGAAACTATATTACTTACTCAAGAAAAGTTATACCCCATTGTTATTATGGGAACTGAAAAGGGAATTATGTCTTTCTAAAGACAATGAAAGGATCAGTACTTATTGTCTTATTTGATATATTAAGTAATAGACAAATTTTCTAATGAGAATAAACAATTTACAGACAGTGGTCCTTGGATTGCCATGGTCTGAATATTTGTGTCTCCCTGCCACCCCCACATTCATATGCTGAAATTCCAACTCCCAAGATGATGGCATTAGAAGGTGGGGGGCTCTGGGAAGTGATTAGGTCATGAGGGCTTAAGAGAGATCTGTGAAGTCTTCTACCATGTGAGGACACAGTGAGGTAGCATCTACAAGCCAGGAAACAGGGCCTCACAAGATACCGAGACTTCGATTTTAGACCTTGAGCCTCCACAACTACTAGAGATAAATTTCTGTTGTTTATAAATTACCCCATCTATTGTGTTTTGTTATGGCAGCCTGAACCAACTAAGACAATAGGGTTACAAACTACCAATAGGCCTTTGTATAATATCAAATGCAACATGAAACTAGATTACCAGTCTTGTGACCAGCCAAATTCACCATTCCATCTTAGTCATGGTCCAAGATGGAATATTTTGTAATAGTCCCAACTCCCTAAAGTTCTGGTCTACTATCTGACTGCCCCACTACATCTTAATTCTTCATTGTCTTCAGAAATATTTCTTGATACTTGTATATTTTTAACCATTTGCTTAACATTTCCTTCATACACTGACTTAGATGGAAACTTGCAGTCCTCTCTTTGGGAGCTGAGCCACAACCTACCCAATGCAACTTAGGACTCAGAAGTCTTTCTCTGCTTCTTTAGGCCTTACCACTTCTGCTTATCCTCACTGAAGGCACCCAGAAACCTTATGTCATCAGTGCCCATGCCCTATAATCTCTGACACCTTGATCACTATCATCTTCCACAAAAGATCCCTTGGTACCTTCGACAATCTCAACATTCACATGGATGACTCCCACATTCTCTTTCTTGAGCTCATTTCCAAATACCTTCTTCCTTCTGCTACCCACCTTCCAACGCTTACCTAGATCCTACCATCACCCAAAAGAATACCTCCTCTGAAATCTTAAAGACCGGCACCTCATTCTCAGATATAATCTCTCAATTATTCCTTACATATTCTTTGACCCCAATCGCACATTATTTTAATGTTGATGAAGGCTGTCTCCTTGATCAACCACTAGTCAGCACCACTGCCCTTTTCTGAACTAAGTCTCAACTTCAGCCTCAATAATTATAACCTCTGAACACAAATAATTTAGTCCACTCTCCTCATTAAAAATACGTGAACACTAGTATAGTTTTCAACAGCTCATGACAGCATCCTTAGAAGAACCAGACTCTCTTACAGTGTCTGCCTGAGAAAATACAGTGCTGCCAGGAGAATTTACTATTTGTTCCAGCACAAACTTGGTGATAGGCAGATAGACTACTAAGGCCTTTCTTAGAGTAGTTACTTTAGAAAGCTTGCAATTCTAAATTCTTTCTCTGCCTCTTTGAGATATATATCTTTTACCACCCAGACTGTCTTCTCAAGGAATAAGAGCTAGCTCTCTGAACTGTGGTATAAGTACAGGTTAACAAATTCAGACAGGTTTCACATTAACCAATCTCCCCCCACCCCTTTCAGTTCACTCCCCTGCCAATTTCTCATTCTCCCTTTAACCTCTGCACAAATTAGTCAAGCCAAAGTCATGCTGGGCTCTTTTCCCTATTACAACATGGATAAAAATCTATCCTTATCACTTTAGTATTTGGCTCTGCTTAGCTCTGATAATGTAACTTCAATGTAACTCACACACCTGCCACAATTCATATTTTTCCCAATTCACTCTCTTGCTAGTATTCTCAATCTTTTAAGAATGTACATTTCTGAACAAAACCTATAAGTAAACTGGCCTCTTCCTTATCTTTAAACACATCTTTTCTTATGCTCTGTGCTCTTACCTCACTCAATATCTTTCAGTTCCTTAAGTTCACTCTGGTCCGCCTTACTTCCAGTCCCTGCCAGCTTGGTTCCTCTATGTAGCATATTTCCCCCCTTCTCCCTAGCTTACACTGACTCATTCTTCAGTCTGTATGTCACCTTGGGGAACCTTCTTCATATTTCCCACACTAGGTTAGGTCAACCTGTTACCTGTTCCCAGAACACATTGATTAACAACATTCTGGCACTAACTAAGCTGTACTATATTAGTCCGCCCATCTTCTCTGCTAGGCCACAGCTCTGCAAGGGCAGGGAAAAGTTCCAAATAGCTTACTACTCTCTGTTCCTAATACTCACTTAACTACCTGAGGCACTCAGTAAGTATGTGCTAAATGAGTTAAGTATGTAGGGTCATTAATGTTCTATAGAGAACTCGAGCCCATATAATGAAAATTATCATGGAAATGAGGTGAAGCATCTGTTTTATCTTTTTTTCCCAAAGCATCTAAAAATAGTGGAACACACGACAAAGCATATAACACTATATGATAATAGGAATTTACAAAACCCTGTTGTGATTCCAATTTCATCAGCATATTTGGATATTGGTAAATATTGTTATTGTTTTACCTAGGAGAACTAAGAATCCTCTTTAGTTGCTAAATCTTTCCATCTATGAATAAATTTTCATTGGAAATTGAATCAATTCCATACTTAATAGTGAATATGAAACTATACCCAGCATTAGTCCATTTAAAGTCAAAGTTAAAACCTGGATAATTTTAAATTATAAAAAATATTTATGGGGAAAAAATACCTATGGAGCTAGGGTTGTGGCTCAGCTACAGAGGGCTCACTAGCATGTTTGAGGCCTTGGGTTCAATCCACAGCATCACATAAAAATAAATAAATAAAATAAAGGTACTGTGTCCAAGAATAACTACAAAATAAATATTAAAAAAATACTTATGTGATATTCCAAAAAGCTGGAATCAATGTTATCATCTTTTACTTATTTTTTTCTTAAAATGTGGTACTTACTGATAAATTTGTACTATTGGGAACATACTGATCCTGTTCTCCCAGCAACACGTCAATCACAGGATGCCTTCCATTTTTTATCATGATTCTCTTTTCTTCTTGTAAAGTTGGCCTGCAAAAAAAGTTAGATTTCAATTTATAGGCATGAAAATAGCTTTTTTAAAAAAATCTCTCAGCATGAAAAATTTCAGTACCCAGTTACTAAGATAGACAGCAAAACCTTAAACATAGACATTAAGAGCCAGAATAAGGCTTTGAATATAAAAGTAGAATTTTAACTATAAAATAATAACTGGGAATAACTGTGTGCTGAAGCACAAACTTAGCAGTCTTCTGATGGCTCCAAGACTACAGATGACCTTTCCACAACCCTTTTTATTTTTCTATTGTTGTTTAAGATCAAACATATTTTCATTACTAAAAGTAACAGTTCAGATTATCACTACTTGAATTATTTTCAGTAATGAGCATAATAAAGTAAATCATATAAAATTATTTCTATATTTAATAATTCTCTTAGTTTTAATAATCTCATGTGTTGGACTGAATACAGAATGATCTAAAATTTTCATATTCTGTTTAATTTCTATGATCATTTATATCTTTCACGTTTTTTATATAAATATTATTTGGGGTGGATGGGAGCATAGTTCAGTGTCAGAGTATGTGTTTAGCGTTTCTAAGGTCCTGGGTTTTATCCCCAGCACTTTAAAAAAAGAAAGAAGAAGAAGAAGAAGAAAAAAAAAGGCAGGGTAGAGAGGAGCCTGACTAGAGTAAAATAATGTGTAGATGGGGGGTCAAAGAATTTGTAAGGAGTAATTAAGTGAGAAAGGTTTTATCTGAGAATGAGATGCCTATCTTTAAGGTATCTCTTTTTTTTTTAATCCTGTGAATCTTATCAGTTTTCCAAGCCTTCATATCTTATCACCCATTGTATCTTATCAGTATTATCTATTTATCCTGTCCCCTGAGCCAGCCCTGCTGGGACTTGTCCCCAGATGTTATCACTGAGATCAGTTTGGTGTCTCCTATTCCCAGCCTTCATCTATAAATTTATGTTTATAGACACATCATATTGGTTAAAAAAAAGTTATATTGTAATATAACATTGTACAACTATTTTGAACTCAACAGTATATTTAAACCATCAGTACACATAAGAAAATCAATTTGACCAATATCATCTGATCCAATAGACTCTTATTTTTAATATTTTAAAGTCCATTTTATAAATAATTTTACATTATTATATGTATCTTATATATGTGTGTGTATATGTGTTTGCTTATTTCTTTTGGCATGTTGGGGATCAAACCCAAGGGTTCATGAATGCTAGACATGTGTTCTCCCACTAGACTATACCCCCAAACCCTTAGTAAGAATTTAAAACTGGCAAATGTCACATTTTTACTTCATAGTTTTCTGGTTTTCAAGGTTTATATAACTGAAATAGGATAACACATTCTGAATATAACTGCATTATCAACTTTCATGCATGCACCTGGAATACATTCATTTATAAATACTGAATTCCAAATTTTAATAATTTCTAATAGTTTCTAGTTCATTTGTTCTGGTTCTTCTCATACTCTCAGAGACAAAAATGCATTCAAAACTACCTAAAACTGATAATTTTCTGGAAGGAGAGCTAAAACTCTTTTGTTCCATAATTACAAAACATTTTCATTTTTAGATTTATAGACACCAATTAGAATAATTAGGATAATTAATATTTTCATTTCTATAGCATCCATTTCTTTTCAATCTCCTCCTGCCTGTTCACCTATAAACTGCATCAAGTAAATTTTGGTGAACAACTACAATGAAAGACAGAAAACCATGATGTCTTTTAACAAAACAGGATTATCCAGTTTCTAGTCACTAAATATTACATGACAAATGCTTCATATGGAATGACTGGATGAGAATAGCATATTTTATCTTGCCCTACAAATACATTATTGACACCTCAATTTTTAATAATAATATTGACTAAAAATATTTACATTTGCACATGAGCATTTATAATTGCAGATTTTGTTTATATAGGAGATGCCTTATTGTCAACAGTATTTAGAACACCATCTTTCTCATCATCTTCTGATTAACCTACTAACTGTGAAATGGTCCTTTGGTCCTTTGTCAACTGTTTTACCTTTTATTATAGGTGAAAGATGAAAACTTCTGAATTCTCAACTCTACCCAATGAAAGTTATCAGCAGATTACAACCTTAGCACCTGCGCTTTTCTTTTATACCTTCTTTAAAGATGATGCAAACTTTGAGCAACATGATAAGAAAACAAAAAGGTAATATTTTTTCCCTCATTTTGCATTATCATTCTTCAGATTTCTTTTTATTTTAGGCTTTTATATCATAGTTGGAATAACTGAAAACAATGTGAAATAGCTCCTAGGATATTGAAATAATAAATATTTCAAAATTCACTAAAGATCTCAAAGTCTATCTCAGATTGATTAAAGGGTCCAATGGACCCACATGATAAATATAAGACACAATGAGTTTTATTCTCCATTTTAAATGAAAAAAAGACAATTTTTTTCATTGATCTTTGGAAAACCCTTAAAAAACTGAAATTAGGTCCAATGAACCCTGATAGTTCAGTATGCTGAAAATTAAGGATCATTTATTATCAGAGTTTCAGCATTCTTTTGAAGTTGCTGCATAAATAAGTTAGTCATTCTCTATCACTGTGCACTGTGTCCAAGTTTTCATTGTTATAAATAATGCTGCAATAAATAACCTTATATGTGTATGTGTCCAAGTGTTTCTCTAAGCTAGAGAAAATTCCTGAAGTGGGTATGAATACTTTTTATTTCAATATTCAAGAGAAGTTCTTGAATATTTTTTTTGTGTCAGCAGGATATAAAAGTTGACTTATTTTTTATACCCTCAATAGAGCTGATATATTCAAATTTTTAAATTTTTGACCATGTGGTGGGTGAATGCTGCTACCTTCATCATTTTAATTTGTAACTATTGATTATTAATGCTGCACATCTTTTCATCAGTTTCTTGGCCATGTATTGGTGTTTTTCAGCATAGCATCCTACGAACAACCTCTTCAAGTTGTCTGACCCAGAACTTTATATATGAACACTTTCAGAACATACTTATTATGCCAAGAAACACCATTTTCCTAAATACATAACATTCTTCTTCTTTCATATATCTGGCTAATAAAATCTCAAGAAAATACTCTCATATTTTTCAAAGAAAGTGACTTAGTAAATTTACTCTCCTGAGTAAATAATTTGACATCATCATGGAGAGGAACATTAAAATTACAGTTCTTGGATTTTAGAGTATAATTCTAACATAAGATTTTTATCTAGATGGATTATGAATTTACTACAAGAGAAAAAAAAACGAAACACTTGTGATATCAATTTAAAAAAAAATCCTAGGTGCTCTGTCAAGTGAAATCACTATATCACATTCATGACATTGATATGTGATTCCCAAAAAGATTTTCATTTCAGGACAAAATTTTGAGTGATTGGTTCTGCTTCACTGACTTATTCTGTTGCTATCAAAATTATATAATGATAAAACACTTCCTGGTAGAATACAGTAAAGGATAATCAATGGAGCTGGGATGTTACAGTAGGACAGAATATTTATAGCTAGAAAAGTGGCAAAAGCATATTAATGATATTTTATGGCCACAAGGGGGAAAGAACTGAGAAAATCCAGGTATATCCTGGAAAAAAAAAATAAACCATGTGAACTTGAACAAATTTATTTATTTTACTTTATATTTTTAAAATTGCATCTTTCTATTTCAACTGATCCAGAGAAACAAGATAATCTACATTAGTTAAAACAGTATAATATTCATTATAAATATCGGATTAAGAGACCCGAGAATAAAAACTTTTGCCTAAAGTTTTAGACTATAGTGAATAAAAAGATCTTAATAGTGTTTAGAAAAGATTTCAATTATAAAGTCAAATAATCAATTTGAATTAAAATAAAACAGTTCAAAAGCACTAATGTCTTTCAATAAGCTGGAAATTTAAGAAAAACAAACTTCAGATACTTATGTACTATTTAAATGAATTTTAGATAGAAATCTCCTATTTCATGGTTATTTACATTCAGTTTAATTTTTGCCAAAAAAGAGATTGATAAGACTACTGAAAGATTATGGCATAATTTATTTAGATTTTTTTTAGATTGATTCTTCTTAATATATGCAGTGCCCAATTTGGGCAGTTTTTGATATGTGAAATGCCAAAATGAAATGTCCTAAAATGTTTCACTGACAAACTAGGTAACTTGGAACAATCTTCCTACTGAGCCAAGGAGAAAAGCTAGACAAAGTATAGGAAAGAGCTACCCAAAGGCACCTAAAAACTAACAAGACAGCAAAGAATTACCAGGTAGGATCTGGGATAGGACCAAGGCCCATGGAAGGGCCAGTCTTCCCCTATGGGTGTTGGCTGCTTTCTGAGGTAGTGGGCTGAGAACAGTGGACAGATATGTGCTGGACTGAAATAGCTAGGGCTGCTCATCAGACAGAATAATACATCACCTCGACAATGATTGGAATTAAGTAACACCAGACTGCTAGTGTCCTCAGCAACTTAACAAGGTGAGATCCTGTCTCAAAATTAAAAAAAAAAAAAAAAAAAAAAAAAAAAAGCCTGGATACATAGTTGAATAGTAAAGTTGGATTCAATCCTCAATCTTTCAAAAAGTCAATTGATTGTAGACTCTAAGCCTTCTATAACAGATGACAAATAGAATATATAATTCTACTCCCTTCCTTCTCATTTACTGCACTGTTTCAGTTCTAAAATGCCTGTTGGTAACTGACTGACAATGCAAATCTGTGTACGTTCAAATCCCTCTAATGTGACAAGAAGAAACCAAAACATGAAAGAATATAAATAGCAAAATCTGCCTACTAACAACTCTGTAGGTAATAGATACTGTTAGGCACTGTCATATATAGGCTTTCTTTTTAGTCCCCACAATAAGCCAATTAGCTAAATATTTTTTAACTCTTCTGAAGGGTGTGTATGTTTGTGTGTTTGTGTGTGTGTGTGTGTGTGTGTGTGTGTGTGTGTGTCCCTCAA